AATCGACAGAACTAGTAAAGGAAAAATGAAAATTGTTAACCTAGTCTATATGGTGTAACAGAAGGTTACACTATTGACTAAACGGGTCCCCGGCAACGGCGCCAAAAACTTGATCGCGACTTTCTATGTCTAATACAACTAACTGCAAGTGCACAGTCTATCGCGTAGTAATAATAGATATCGATCCCACAGGGACTCGTAATCAAACTAGTGTTCTCGGGAGTTACTATGTTTAGCTAGGTAGAATATGTTTAAGGGAATAAGATTGTCACTAAAAAGGGAACTAAGATTTCTATTTAGATTATAATTAACCGAATCGATACGTAGTAATTGTGTTCTTCAGGGATTTGATAAATTACTGGTGTATGAGATAATTTTCAAAGTTTATTTAAGCAGAAAATGGAGATTTGAAGACTCTCGTCTCACGATGGTTATTGACGCTAATCATAATCCTAAGGGCCAAACGTATACTTTCGTATTCCGTTCGGGGTTAAAATTATTTTTTGGAAATCTCTAAATTCTAATTCGTTTTAAAGTGCTTTCGCTGTTATTAAAACAAATGCCTAGTGTTTACTATCTGACCTTACCGCAGCTTTCGCTTGTTGATTCGTATCTTAATTAATTTCCCACTTTCGTGGCAAAACTACTTTTAAATAAGTTCTCGCTTTCGCGACGAAGTTTATTCAGTGAATCAATTTTAAACACTCAGACCATAGATTACTTTTGTGAAAAGAAAGTTTTCAACCAAGTGTTATCAAATCCCATTCAAATTATTACTACATATCGATTACCTAAGTTTAGCTAGACATGGAATTGGGAAAAACAAAATATAAATAAGAATAATAAATGATAATTTGCATTATAATAAAACTGAAGTCGATCAAAATGAAAACCTGTAAATATGCCAATTGGCCTTTGGGCAGATCCTCCACAGATGTTGGCAGGATTATGGTCTTTAGTGCCAATTTGATCGTACAGTACAATAGAAATTACAGAAGAGCGGAAATGGGAATAAGGAAAGGTAAAGAGAAATGAATACAAATAAAACTGGAAAGTAATTGTTCTGGAAAGTAAATTCGGCAGCACTTCGTGGTATGAATGCAGCACCCTTTCTGAAGTCCCCTGCTTCCCTTTTTATAGAAGTGGAATCCCAACGGTTATCTCTGAAGATGATGGACCTTGAGGCAGATAATTTAGGGAGTAGTGGTCCACTCTGTGGGAATTGGAACTGCTCTTTTGACGTGTAATCTGAGTGGGGCGTTTTTGCCTGCATGACGGTCGTCACAAGGTGTGACGGTCATCATGAAGCTGTGACGGTCGTCACATCAGCAAAAACAGCTTGCTGCGCTTTTCATTGTGTTTTCACTCCTTTTTCGTCCATATTTCATCTGAGATTGCTTCTTTTCTTCATGTTGCCTTGTTTAGACGTGATCGTTGAATACCTGCAAAAACATCAGACAAATACACGGAAATAACCCGAAATCGGATCGAAAACGGTTAGACTTTAGTTGAATTATGCATGAAAATATCTATATGATTTCGTGTTATCACTCAACAAATGAAGGGATATCAGCACACCCTGCCTCAAAATGCTGCAAGTGTTGCTCAAGCTCAGACTCAGTATTTAAATACATGACTTTATTCCGTAGATCCATAACATTCTTTTACCTATTACATTCGACGTATTTGTTGCACTTTGAACTAATATTTTTTGAAATATAAAACACTCGCAACAGATGAAATAAGGATGAGAACACAACTTGCATGAAATTCATCAGGGAAAGCTCCTGATTCGTCACCATGACCTTGGAAAAGCAACTTCTCGAACGTGAATAAATCTTTCACCTTCTCCAATGCCCATATGAACTTTTCCTCCCTTTCATGTTTCAAATAGAAAAAATAACCGGTAGAGTCAACATCGTTGACGTAACATCAACAATATCAAGTAGTGGGAGCCAATACTTTTTTTTGTATGTACAGTTAAAGATCAACACCAAATAAAAAAATGTTCAACAACTTTGTAGAATCAGGATGTGTCCAGAATATATTAGCAATATCATATGATTCCTCCCTATTCCAGGTTTAACACATGTATTTCTCATCATGAATTAGCTCTAACAAATGTTGCATTTATGTGAATGGACCTCTGATGATAGACCAATATATTAATCTCGCCTTATACACCTCATTGTAATCGTCAAATTATTAGGATCTTTATATTTCAAAACGACAATTATGAACCTCGATACCATGTTGTACTTTTTAATTTCCTTCATAATTTGTCTTTCTTGAGGTTTTAAATGACCTAATATGTCATGACACAGTAAATCCTTAGCTAGTTCATGATTGTGAATATCACTTTTAATCGTTATATTCCAACTAATGTCGGTTGACATAGATCTCAACATGAATGGACATTTCACTCTTCTACTACAAGTCTCGTGAGAAGAATTTTGGTTCTTGTAGTTTCCTCCACTCTGTCTCACACAACCCATCATCAATTTATCTTTCCTCCCTATTTGATCATGTCTTATATCATAACAAACAATAACAACAATAATACCATGTTTTCTCCCAAAAGATTATGCCAATGATAACACTTCGGCCCAAAACAAGAATATTTGTTAATTAAAACATATAATGAATGATTTATGCCAGAGATACCATAAATCGATTAAAATTTCAAAAGATAAAAAATATGTAAATAAAACATACAAAGTCGGTGGTGAAGAACTGAGTAAAATATGTAAAAGAAGTATCCATTTTAGGCACACATAAGGAGAGCATGTTGAATTGAACTATCAGAGTTTCTAGAGGTGGACTAAAATATCCAATATACTGGATTTTCAAAATATCCGAAATCTTCGAATGTGTTAAAATATTTGGGATATTTTCATTTTACCTGATGTTTTAAAATATCATCAAAAAATTATATCGATTTTTCAAAAATCCAATAAAAATCTAATAAAAAACATTTTTTTCTCCTTGATCAGTAAAATATATACCAAATTTTAAAAATAAACTATTGGTTTATTTTTATTTTACTAGTTCTTTGAAAATGGATTTTTTTTGTGAATCATAAATTTGAAATGGGATAAAAAATGAAGAGTATTTTTGTCAATATTAAAATGTGTGTGATATCGAGTTAAAGACTAACGATGTCAAGTTAAATTCTCGGACTCACAATTAGGGGTGAAAATAGGTCAGGCCGATAAGAGGGGCCTACGGCCTAGTCTATACAGACTCAGGTCAGGCCAAGCTTTTTTTAAATAGAAAAGGCCTAAGCTTTTTTTATAAGCATATTTAGTTAAAAAGGCTAGGCTCAGGCCATGAAAAAAGCCTTTTAAGCCTAACAGACTGGCCTATTTAAATAAATATGAATAATTTTTTTTATTATCATTATGTTATGTTTGTTTTGTACTTTGAATTAAAATACATAAATAAAAATTGGTTATTTTAGATAACTTATGAAAATAAGATGAAAACACCTTATGAACAATATTATAATTTATTTTCATAAGTTATTTTAAACAAATAATCTCACAAAATTTATGTTAATAGGTAAGTTAAAATAACTAAATGTAAACAAACTTTTAGTCTCATTGGTTTTTTAATTTGTTAATCTATTTAAAATATTAGGCTTTTATGTAGGTTAACAGGCTAAATAGACCTTAGAAAAGACCAGATTCAGGCTAAAAAATAAGCCTATGACAAACTAAAGGTCAGACTTACGCTTAAGTTTTTTTAGCAAGTCAATCTTAGGCTTGGCAAAACCTAGCTCGACCCAGCCTGTTTTCCCACTACTCACAATGCTTCACAACAAAATAATTTATTTATTAAAAAAATGTGAAAGTTAAATCAAGCTTTTATTCATATTCCCATTGCAGTTTACATTCCACATAGTTGTGTTCTTTAAACACAAAAATCATCAGACATCGTATAAAATGCAACTAGATGTGCATAGTGCTGGAATCAATAAAGGATTAAAAAGAAAGTAGAAACATTTCACAGATATGTAAAAGAAAAGAAATTAGAAGTATGTGATGTTAGATTAATTATTTATTTAAATAAAATGGTTTGAAATAATTAATTATTAATTAATTATATTCACTATAAGAAATATTGCCCCTTGCCACGTGATTTAGTGAAGTGAAAATCATGTGGCAAAAAATGGGCAGTTGCAACGTGCATATCATGTCACTAACTTTTTTAATATTAAAATAATAAGTCTAACATTTAGCACATGGTGTGTCAGGTTTTTTTATAAAAAAAAAGTTGTGGCGTGAATATCACATCGCAATATTTAAATTTAAAAAAAAAAACAATTAAAAGTGTTAGGCCATCTGAAGAGGGAAAGTTGAAAATTTTCAAAATTTTGGTTGTGACGTGATATTCACGTCGCAACGGTTTAGGAGGGAAAACAATCTGACGCTGAAGTGATGGGGTTCTAGAGGTGCAGGTTGACTGACAAATAGGTTATGGTCGTTGAACATTTGCCACGTTAATATCATGTGGTAAAGTTGCGACGTGAAATTCATGTCGCTATCTAAATTTATGCTTTAATAATACAAAGGTTGAAAAGAATGTATGCTTCAATGCACAGTGCAAGTTAAATGACATGGCATCATACAAACAAAACAAGTTCAGGCACTACGTGACATCCATATGATGGCGAGGCATGAAAGCACTTTGGTCGCATACATGCTGATTTTGCCGTAAAACCTAGAAATGTGAGGCTTGGATTCTGCTCTGATGATTTTACTCCATATGTCCAAGCGTCTGGAAGTGGATATTCTTGTTGGCCAGTTATTATAACCCCTTACAACCTCCCTCCCGAGATGTGCATGACAAAACCATACATATTTTTGTCCTGCCTCATTCCAGGACCGTCGAGTCCAAAAGCCGGAATCGATGTGTACTTACAACCTTTAATTGGTGATTTGAAGAGGTTGTGGATTGGAGAATTGACTTATGATATATCAAGTAAACAAAACTTTACTATGCGAGCTTCCTTGACGTGGACTATTAATGATTTTCTAGCATATGTCATGTTGTCTAAATGGGGTAGGCATGGAAAAATGGGATGTCCGCATTGCATGGGGAACACCAAGGTGCTTACGTTGGAAAAGGGGGGAAAAGTTCGTGGTTTGACTGTCACCATAGATTCCTACCAAGAAATCATCCCTTTAGAAGAAACAAGACTTATTTCAAAAAAGATAAACGAGTAACAGATTTTCCTCCGCCTCGATTGTCACCAGGTGAAGTATGGAACCAAGTTTGTGAACTACCAAAATTCACAGATATTGGTCAAGCATGTAGAATTCAAGGATATGGGTTCACACACAATTAGACAAAAAAAGTATATTTTGGGACCTCCTATATTGGAAATATGATTTGTTGCGCCATAATCTTGATGTTATGCATATTGATAAGAATTTTTTTGATAATGTATTTAACACTGTGGTGGATGTTAAAGACAAAACTAAAGATAATGAGAAGGCTAGACAAGACATGAAAATTTTGTGTAATCGAAAAGAGTTGGAGTTGAAGCGTCAACCAAATGGAAAATTGTTAAAACTCAAGGCTAATTACAGTCTAACTTCCCAAGAAACTAAATGGTTTGTCGATGTTAAAAGAATTGAGAATTCCCGATGGTTATGATTCAAATTTGGCAAGGTGTGCCGACGTTAACACTGGGAAGTTGCATGGTATGAAAAATCATGATTGCCATGTTTTTATGAAACGATTGCTCCCAGTCATGTGCTTAATCCATTAATTGAAATTAGTCAATTTTTTAGAGATATTTGTGCGTCAATTTTAAGAGTGGATGACATTGTTAAGTTGGACTAAAATATTCCAGTCATTCTCTGTAAGTTAGAACAAGTATTTCTGCCTATTTTTTTTTAATGTATGGAACATCTACCTGTGCATCTTGCATATGAAAATTTTCTTAGAGGCCCTGTTCAATATAGGTGAATGTATCCCTTAGAAAGTTTCATGGGTGATTCAAAGCGGTCGGTGAAAAGTAAAGCTAAAGTTGAAGGATCAATATGTGCGCATTACTTGCATCGGGAAACATCTCATTTTTGCAGTTACTATTTCAATCAATTGATGTTAACTCCAAGAATCATAAGGAATCCTATAAATGTTAACGAAAGAAGTTAATTTACCTTATCATTCTTCGGGCTTCCTGGTCGTCCCTTTGGAAAGAAGGATATGCATTGGCTGACTAAAAAAGAAATACAATCAGCACATGTTCATGTCTTAATTAACTGCATTGAAGTTAAACCATATCTTGAGTAAGTATATCCCAACTATTTAATATTATTTACTGTATGAATACAAAACTTATTACCTTGAAACTTATAGTGTGTTTCTTTATAGGGAATTTAACATCTCCTACTTTCATAACATTAGTGTACAAGCAACCTCCGATCACATACATGCTCATTTTTCAGCATGGTTCAAGGAGAAATTGTCATGCATTGTTACATCGACTCAAGAAATACTCCATTTGAGAAACTTGTCTGAAGACCTTATTCAAAGCGCAAATAAATGGCACACATACTTTGTAAACGGATATAAATTTCACACTGAGACATGGACTGAAGGGAAAAAAACCATAAACAGTAGTGTATTTGTAAAAGGAGTTACAGATGGTGGTGAGGACAACTTCTATGGCTTTGTTAAACATATCTATAAGTCTGTATACAATTATTTGGACTCGGAAAATAAAGTTGTCTTGTTTTATTGTGACTGTTAGGATCCATCTTCCAGAGGTACAAAAATAGATAAGACACATGGTACTGTTGAGATTCGAATGGACCAAAGGTATAACGAGTATGACCCTTTCATAATGTCACATATTGTTAGACAAGTTTACTATGTTGCTTATCCTTCAATTGTACCACGTAAACGAGGGTGGCATGTTGTAATCAAAACAAAATCATTGGGTCATATTGAAACTGGTGATCTAGTGAAACATGTTTCTTACCAAGTTGATGAAGTTGAACAAATTAATGATGTGATTGTAGTTGAACAAATTACAAGTTTGTCTGATACAATTGTTAGGGACATGAAGTTGATGCATTTATATTGTTGGCTGAAAATGAAGTGTACGATGAACATGAAGAATTTGGATCTGAGGATAATATCACATCAGATTATGATAACAATATGGATGATCATGAATTTGAATAGATTATTTTTGTAATTTAACTTGATGAAACCTTGTATTGAATGTGGTATAAATATATATCTATGTGATTGTGTTTTTTAAGATTTATTATTTATGTTGTTCATGAATATATATTAAATGTGTATTCTTTATAATAGGTATAATGCCACCTGATCTGATAAGAATAAGGGTAAGAAGTCCCAATGTCTGAGAGTGGTAGTATGTCAGGCACCTCAGTCGGCCATGTGTCCTCCCCTGCAGAGTCAGTTAGATTCTATGTCCATGGCCAGTTCTCAACCTTTCATGACATTACTTTCCCCTCAGGAGTATCCAACTCTTATTAGCCCATCTGGGGGCCCTATTTATCCATATCAGCAGATTGAGGGCCCTAGTTATCCATATCAGTAGACTGGGGGAACTAGTTATCCATACCAGTAGGTACCCTCATCCTTTACACAATCTGAGGGATTTAGCTTTCCACCTCCCTACCAGTAGGTTCCCACACCCTTCATGCAATCTTGGGGATCTAATTCTCCAACTCCCTCACAGGTACCCTCATCCTTCACACAGTCTGGGGGATCCCACACCGCACAGCCCACACAAGTATCATTATCATCCACACATATACATATGAGTGAGGATGATCATGAAGAGGCAACTGCGGACGATCATGAGGTGGATGGTGATGAACAGGAGGCTGCCAATGATGAGGTGGTTCAGATTATTGATGGAAGATATTTTATTTGACCCAACGAAAATTCATAAGTTTTAAATTTTTATTTAAGTATACATGTTTCTATTTTTTATATTAACTTATATTTCATACTAATATAAATGATTGATGTTTAGTTTCGAGTTGAGTCGGAATGCTGCCTAGCGTATAAGTTATGTTATTCAGCAAAAGTATAAAAAAACTTGGAAGAGATTTAGAGAAGTTAATGAGGATGAAAAAGGAGCTTGATTTGATTTATTTAAGGTATAACTAATTTATTTTTGTTAAGTTATGTAATTTATTTGTTAACTTATTTTTGTTTAAATTATTTTTTATTACAATTGTCTAACTATTTTATTTGAATGTCTTGCAACATTGTAGGAAAAATGTACGTGGAAAAAAATGAATGAGAAAGAGGTTAGAAAAAATTATTTTGGCAGATCAGTCGTTCGACTTTCTGACATGCTACGGCATGCTAGAAAGCGTTGGGAACTTGAAAATATTCATCCCAATTAGATAGGCAAAGACATATTCGATGAACTTCTTATTTATTGGGATTCAGATGCTGGTTTTAAGGTAAGATCTGAAAAAGCAAAGGAAATGAGAGCATCTAGAAAAGGGGGTAGTCTTAATATAGTTGGAAGTATAAGTGATGTCGAACATGCTCGACGCATGGTAATATTATTACTACTATTTTAAGTTATATTATGATTTATTATATACTTTTAATTAAAGTTGATTTTATTATTTAGGAAAAGAGATTGGGGAGACCTCCACTCATGGGAACTGGTTGTAAAGACTAGAACAAAAAAATCGGGGTAATTTGTTGACAAACGCACCAAAAAAGCTTTGGTAAGTCGTTTCATTTTATTTAAATTATTATTTTTTTTTATTTAATGAAAATTTTGTGACGTGATTATAATGTGTTAACTAAGATATTGTGGCGTGAAAATCATGTGGCAGTATCTATTATTTAATTTAACTTAAATTGTTTAAGCTATATTTAATTTAATTTTTTTATTGTATGTGTAGGAGGATTACCAGGTATTACTCACACAAATTTTGGTAGAAAATCCTCAGTATACTCCAAGAGGTTCTTAGTTGCTTAATTCACTGGTGGATTTTTATATTTAGGGTTTAATAACTGGCGTAAAGGGACCGAATGAATGTTTATTTGGTGCTAGAGTTTTGGCCGATGGTATGAGAAAAGGAGACAAAACTCTATTTCAAAGAGTTAGAGATGGTGAGGGAACGTCACATCCACCACAATTGACTCCCGAGATGCTAGAAACGGTAAGACAACTGGCACTAACTGAGGTGAGACGTGAAACGATGCAACGTGAGGCGGCGCTAAAGGCCTAAATGGATGAGCAACATCGCCAGATAGAGGCAATGAAGAAGAGGCAAGCTGAAATGTAGGCGATGATGCGCCAACTTATGCAATCACAAGGTGGCAGTAATCCAGTTGTTGAAAATGAAGAAGGTGGTGGTCAACAACAGATGGATGGCGATGATGACGATGATTTTGACATTGACGACTTTCCCGATCCGGATTGATTCGAAGAATTTATTATAATTTCAAATTTTTATTTTTGTAAAATATTTATTACATTTTAGTTTTTAAAATAATTTAAAAAATTATAATTGAAGAATTAAACTATAATTTTAAACAAATTATTATTATTATTATTATTAAACGTGTACTAAAATTAATCAGTTTTTAAAATAAATAAAAAATACTCAGCCACGTGATATTCATGTCACAACTTGTCACGTGAAATTCATGTCGCAACTTACCACATGAATATCACGTCACAACTTGCCACATGAATATCACGTGACAAAGTTCTTACACATTTCTGCCATCTTTTCTGCTACACCTGTTGTGTCTGCAATTCTGTTTTATTTGTTGCGACGTGAATATCACGTGGCAAAGTCACGTGCTCCTGCCACGTAAATAGTCACGTCGTTCAAATCAATTTGTGACGTAATTTTTCAAGTTGTGACGTGAATTTCACGTGGCAACATACAATTTTTTTGTAGTGATTAGTTATAAATAAATATTAATTATTGATATTATGTAATTGGATTTTGTGTCGGAATGGATCTGACATATTGGACCATTCAATTAAACGCAATGAAAGGTCTCTGTCATCATTAATTTAGTTATTTAAACGTTATTTCATTAAACGATTAACATACTCTAAAAATCTTAGACAACAATGAGAATAATAATCCTCTCAAATTCGATGTTTCTATGATTTTCTCTTAAATTCTACAAAAATATATAATTCTTATTATTTTTAATTATTGAATAATATAATAATATACTATAATGTTGTGTCTATCGATTTTTTGATATCAGAGCATTAATTAGATATATATTATGACTATTAATAATTTTAAATAAATCCTAATTTTAATGGATTAATAGATGAAGAACACTATCATTTTTTAAGTTTCATTCTTGAATTTTTTAAAAGTTTAGTTTGATTAAATCAAATACTGTTTGTAAAATGAGTTTTGATTTTGAAGGCACAAAAACAATTAGTATATAATATATGTGATGATGAATCGAAACCTTTAAAACCATTAACTTTCTTTTACTGTGTGAATAACTCTTGATACGGATCTAAGTGTCAATTATTAAATTATGGCCCATAAACAATTCTTGTTAGTGGATGAATCAATGGTAATTTGAAACCGTGCACCCACTTTATGTGCCAAATTTTTGTGGAATGTGATTTTTCATGATAATTATACTCCTTTAATATATTTTTAGGGCTAAGAACCCTATAAAATTAATCTCTAATTTATTTTAATTAGGTTTATAATTTAAATTAAATAAATACAATAAGACGTTCTTCTTATTAAAATCTTTGTGATTTGTTGAGAAAATTCGGAAAATAATTTCTAATAACAAGTGAATCTAATCATGATTGTTTTGATTTGGAGTAAATTAAATATGTTAATATGGAATATGATTTACCGTTCATTCTAATTAATTAGTTATGATTGCAAAATTATTTTTGTTTTAATTGGTCGATTCTTCCACCAAATAGCATACTAATAAATTTATAATTATTACAAAATATCATTCTATTATATCTTATGTAATTATTAAAGTAGAGTCTCATATGATATAATGATTTACAGTTGATTTTTGAGTTATGTAATTATTAAAGTAGAATACTACAATATTTTAAAAGTTATTAAAGTACAACGACTCTACTTAGAAAGATAAATGTCATATTCTTTGAGTTTAGTCATAATATACTTTTAAACCTCTGCTAACTTATTATATAATTTGCACATAAGGAGAAATCTGTTTTTAATATTATCTATTCTTTTAAAAACTATAATATAATATATTTTTCAAATGTCTGATTATATTTAATATGTGATTATATCTGTACCATTTGAATTTTTTTTGGTGAGTTATTAAGATGCTATGTATATTCTTATATTAATCAATGATGATAAATTTTTTATATGGTCATCATACTCTTTTATGTAAAATTACATAAATAATGATATTAATTTATAAAACTCTAATGATGATATGTTATAAAATCACTTCTTTATATAACTTTACACTAAAATTAAAATTAATATTCTAATGTATAATCAAAATACTTAATACTAATGACTCTAACAAATCTTTATGATATTTATACATATGTTAGATAAGTGAGAATGTATGTATACAAACTACTTGCATGCATGTAGCTAATTTAATGATCAAAATAGAGTTTTATACTCACTGAATTATACAATCAAGAATTACAAGTAACAATGAATATCCAGTTATCAACATAAAAGAGAGTAGTGTTGTTATTAACATAAAAAAGAATGATAGTGGTTGTATGTTTCA